AGCGAGCCATAATTTTGCTATTGGCAAACAATTTTTATTTTTTACACACAAAAATCATTACAATAAATCAAGGGACTGAACCTTAACTAAAATTAAAGGCTAATGGTAGAATTTTAAAGTAATTAGTCTGTAAATATCACTCACTATTATTAAATTAATTGCAGCTTTGTCCACCCTACATTTAAAAGATGGTTTCTTACAAACATTAAAAACAACCGAGAAAAAGAACATACACTTTTGAAGAGAGGATTTGTTACAGGAAGTTTTTAGTAAGAAGTACATAGTTACAAATCATTTCAAAGAAGAAAACATGGGCCTTTTTAAGTTGAGAAAAAATTTTGTAAAATATTCACGACAAGATATTTGAGTAAAAAGTTCTATCTTTACCTCAGAAATACTCTAAACTAAAGTATTGCTTGCTGGTGATTTCAAATTTACAAAAGTGCGCTACTAAAATAAATCTAAGATATGGTCTTTGGGATATTTATCTAAATACTCAAAATATATGTAATGTTAAATCTCCTCTGTGTATTGAATGTATGTAAACACAATAGATGAAACTATTTTTCTCTAATTGGGTACCTATAATAAAACTTGGTTGTTTTTTTTTTTTTAAGTAAATTATACTGTTCATACATCAAATGACTAAAAACTGACAGAGTTCAAGAGGCCCTTGTTTTCTTCTATAAAATTATTTGTAACTACTTTTTACTAAAAACTTCTTGTAGCAAATCATTTTTTTAATTATGTAGGTTCTTTTAGTGAAGCTCTTTGACTTTTCTTACTTTTCATTGTGTTTAATGCTTGTAAGAAACCATCTCGTCTGCTTTTAAATGTAAGCTGCAATTAATTTAATAATAGTGTATAATATTTGCAGAATATAATACTCTAAAATCTTACCATTAGGCTTTTATTTCAGTTTATACTCAGTCCCTTTATTTATTCCAATAATTTTGGAGCGAAAAATTGTTTTCCAACAGCAACACTACAGCTCGCTCCAGGCCCGCCAAAATTTCAAGATATTTCGGGATATAAACAAAGTGTGATCCGAATTCAGTTTGGAGGTCGTACCCTAAACCAGAATGTTTAAAATAAACCGTCTACCCTATAATATTTCTCTTTATAATTCAAATAAAAATTAATTCATTTGAAATTTGATGGAAATCATTACATGATTTTTCTTTGCTGTTTTGTAGCTCGTCTTTCAAAAAAATCAAACTACCGATATTATAAAAACTCAAGACCAGATCAAAGTTCAATAATAAAAATATAAACACCACTAAATAACAATAAACTATTGGATTTTTTAAAAGTGTCGTACCAAAAAATTGAGATTAACACGTATGAAAACAATAAAATTATTAAAATTGAATTTATATTTTTATGTGTTTTAATGAAATGTAACTGTTTACTGCACCAATGAACATTAAATAGAAATAACTTATGAAACCACTTTCAATGCATTATTTCTTGAACGTTACAAAACAATTTAATTTTATTTAATAAAAGTAAAACTTACAGCTTCCTAAACATACGTTTATCTTCTAAATAGCCTTTTACTCCTGCTAACGTCTCATACAGTACAAATAATAAACTAAAATTTGTTCTTCTGGTTTGGAGGGTTTCTCACCTCTATTAATTACAATAATAATAATTATTGTGTTGACATCATCTCGAATTTGCAGCATATTAATTTGCTTTTGTTGTGTTGTGTGAGAGATGTGAGAGATATGGCTTCGGACGGTGTCCATTTGCCACAGAATGTTTAAATAATAGAAACGGAATACAGAAAAGAAAGAAATAAGAGTAGGGTCTCAAATATAATTTGCTTTTAATGAGGACATTTTCTTACATAGGTGCATCATTTGACAACACGTTTAAAAGAAAGGGATTCTTTAAATCTAAATTTAAAAAATTTAAGACATAATTGTTAGGTAATATTAGTTAAAAACAAACGAATTTCTTATTAATGTGTGTATTTTTCAAAAAATATTATACTTATTTTGTTACCAGATAACAAACTCGAGGGCCGTTCTTAACCTCTTCTTTTCTTCTTCGAGTCTGTCCTGAATGGACTTTTACATTTGTATCTTGTCATCTTAGTAGCGAAGAGGAGAAAAAATAATTGATTTATTTTAATTAAAACCTAGTTATAAATTATCCTGGAAGAATTATAATAATTTTTATAAGTTTGTCATTTTATAGGGTCCATGGACATTTTCAATTTGAGCTTTAGCTGTGTTAAAAATGTCATTATTGTTCACTTCACATAAAAATTGCATTGCCCTTTTTGGAGACAAAAACAGTATTGAATAACTCACGGCTACAACCTCCCCAAAATGCAATTCCATGTAATTCTAAATCGTAATATACACTTTTAGCTGGTTTTAAACCTATTTCATTTGCTACAGTTCTAACTGCAAAACATAGAGAAGAAAGGTTTTGTTTTAGCAATTCTATATGATTCTTACATTTACACTGATTAATGCCCAGAAGTTTTGTAATTTTTTTATTTATTAATTTATTTAACGTCGACTTATTTCTAACTACGAGGTTTAAACATCGGCGCTGCATGATGAGTACGATACTCCCAAATACCAGAGATTTTGCCGAATCCTTTGGTGTTTCAAGCAGAAATAGGAATCTTTAACCAGCCCAACATCCATGGACTCGAGACGACTGCTTTATACACACACACACACGCACGCACGCACGCACGCACCCACGCACACACGCACACACGCACGCACACACACACACACACACACACACACACACACACACATATTTAATCACAAATAGTTGGCGACGCACTATGCTTTGATTTTCCTAATATCACAAGATGTGATGTTATAAAGAACACGGTGGTCATTGCTGTACCATAAAATCGTAGTGAGACTACTTGCAGTAGTGAGATGTCATTTATATAAAGAAGGAAAAAATAGAACAACACAGAAACCTTAAGATCAGAAGGTCGTTTAGCAAATAGATTTTTAAATGTATTAAAGCTAATGGAAATTACTTTGAACATTTGTTGTCGAAAGATATCCTCTTTTTTAATAATTGTTTTCGTTTTTCTATTATTGTTTTCCCATTGTTATTATTATTATTATTATTATTATTCTAGCCAATAACTTCAATTGTACGTTTTTTGAGAATTTGAAAAGATGTACTAAATAATTGATACCCAGGTATCTGGAAAACGGTCACTAGGAGCGACATTTACAAAAGAAATATTTTAAAAATACATAAATACATACCTAATATTTAATATTTAGGCTAATACACAGTTACACAAAAAAATTTGGTCATTTTAAAGAGATTTCATGTACCTACTGTAAGTAGCTCTCTCTGCAAGTGGCATTTAAACCAAAAACAAAATTTAAATTTCTTACCTCCAAAAACCCTTAAATCCATAATTTCGTGCCGATATGACGCCCTGTTGATGAACTATTTAGAAAAAACGAAATGAAAATTACAACTATGACACCCTGTATTTCGGTTATTATCAACTTTTGGACGTAAGTTTGATTAAATCACAATATGTTTACCCAAAGAATCTGCAGTTTTGGTGTATACCATTAATTAACCATAAATATAATATAATTGACCCTGTCAAAACCAACAGACAGCAATTTTGATAGATTTTGATAGATACAAAATAATCAAAATAGCTTCAAATGATATACTCTCAGTTAATTTGTAAACATGTTACTAACCTTTTGAGAATTTAATAATAATTCCCGAGAACGATTTCCAGGACGTAACTATCCATCACACAAGACATTTAGAAACGAAGAAGCAAAATTAGGAACTGGTTCTTTTCTTTCAATTAAAAGGCATAAAAACCATCAAGCAGCTGCTGTAAATGAAGATAATACAATAAATGATTTGACCCAAGCAGCGATAAACCCTCAAGCTTCTCCGAATTCTAGTAGAAAAATTTTGGATTAATAAAAATACTATACTTTCATAAAATTATAAGTACATAAGTACCATACATTTGAAATGCATTTATTACAAAAGTTGAGACCAAAAACTCCGAATACACGAATACAGCAACAAAAGTCCTTTTCATAATAATTTCATGGTGGATAAACATAATGCTCATTACTGGTCAAACCAAAATCCGCGTTGCGTGGGTGAACCGCGCTTTCAGAGTGTTTGGAAAATTCACGTTTGTTGTGGTATATTTATTTTAATGGGCATTAAATTGGTCCTTATTTTTGCGAAGGAACTCTAACAGGACAAGTTTATTTTATATGTTTGCAGGTTTAACGTAAAATATTCCTCTAAACAGAAGTCTCATTCGTTGGCCTGCGCATCCACTGGATCTGACGTCGCTTGAATTTTCCTTTGGGGCTATTTAAAAAACTTGTATATCAAGTGCGCCCTGCTAACTTGTATAATCTAAGAGATAGAATTCGCCTATTGCCAAACAATATATAAACAGAGAAATTATAATTTCATCATGCAATAGAGAGATAATTCACCGTATGGGGGCTTGTGTGCAGACTAGAGGCACGCAGTTTAAACATTTGTTTAATTAATGATTTATATTAAACGTATTAGTTCTATTTGTCTTTAAAAGTTTGTTATTAATTATTTTAAAACATAGAGAAAGAGGAAAAAATTATTTAGAAAGTTATTTATTTTTCATAAAAAATCGAGAGAAACAATCAGTGAGTAGTCACTGGCTTTCAAAATACTGTTTCCACATTGACTTATGGCATTTTTTTATGAAATAATTCCCAAGGTGTATTGAAAACACACACAATCGGTATCATTTGTGGGGGAAAATATTTAATGTTAATTAATTTCCTTAGTAAATATTTAACAAACCCATCAAACCGATTTTTTTATTCTAAACTATTATTTTAGAATACCAATTCATTGTTTTTTAAAAGTACCGGGTTTCCAAATAAGAAAGGACGCCAATTAAATTTAAGTTGAAAGTCATTCAGAAGTGTGACTTATCTATATACTTATTTCTTTTTTAGGCGTTTCTTCATTGTAAACCACATACTAGTATATGGACTTCTCGATGCAGACTTACAAATTAAACAGTTAAGTAAAGATACTGACAACGTTGCTTCTCTTGAATGGTCCGTTGATTTGCCTTCAATCTTCATCGATGCCTTCTGGGACAGTATTATAAACACCAACGGTACCGATATCCAAACCCATGGAAAAATGAAGTAAGGGAAATTATATTTTTATATTTATATTGTTAGAATCGCCATTCACTAATTTGAAATCTATAATTTTAACTAGAGGGTTAAAAATTTAAATATATAATAATAACATCAAAATATCAAACTAAAAAATAAATATTTTAAAAAATTAAATACTTCTACAGAGATTGTTAGTTTTAAAACAAGCACAACAAATAACAGGAAAAGTTATAAAAAGTTGATATAATTAATTAAAACGTAACAACGTAAAGAACGACACGTTACTACTTAATTTTTTGAACGGATAAATAACTTCTTAATAGTCTAGAAACTAATAGTGTGGACGTTTTGATTAGATTTTCTTAACTGTAGTTAAAATAACGGTAATTTATAAGAAAAATAAATAAGTTAGGTTGTTTTAAAATGTACAAAATAACGTGGTTGTTATGACGTTTCTAACTTTTGAACTACAACTACTTATAATAGATACTCATTAATAATGTACTGTAAATAATATGAGATTTATCAAGAAACTGATTATAGGGTTAAACCCCTTGTTACTGACCTAAAAATAGTTGCTGTCACCCTCTATGGTCCTATAAAAGTTATTATTTGTAGTTTACACCTCCCACCTGATCTTGACCTAAATACAGGCCCCAACGATAAAAAACTACTAGAATATAGTCTGAATAAAATGGGATCGAGTGCAGTAAAAATGAGGATATAACGTCACTTTTGTCAACTTGTGGATTGTCCGTACTTACTTGCCACGTCAAGCTCAGGGTTTTTTTCTGAATGAACTGTAATGGGCTATGGGCGGTTCGTGTAGCAAATAACTTTTGGGATTCTAATGAACCTTCACTGATGTTAAAATTAAAAATGTACCTTCCTTTAACGTGTTTATTTCAATCTCGATAAACTATAACATAAACTTTAACATTTGTGAAAACTACACTTAATCTACCACTTTACATAATATTTTGTGATTGAACGTTGGCTTATAACATCTTACTGTGTTGCAAGAATCTGGCAAGAAAGAAATTGAAAATAAAAGTGTACTGCTAACGGCAAAAATGATTTTGTTAGGTAAACCGAAGCTTTGTGCTTGTTTGTGTGAGTTACGGTGTTAAATTGACGTAATATGTTATAAAATGCTTGTAATTTTTAATCATTCTGCCGCACGCGAGAATCGAAGGGATTACCTTCGTACATACTTTCAACAATGATTTAAATTTTTAGAGATAAGAGATAGAGAGAGAGAAATATGAAATTAAATTACATGTTAAACTTATTGTGTCATATTTATAATTGACATGTAATTACTAAATACCTAACTAAAATTAATTGCCACTTTAAGACCTTGAACATTTACTTTGTGAATTGTCTTGTGTAAAAACACCTATCCAGTCAGTACTTTGCCGGACCTGAGGTTTAAAAACAGCGAAATCTAAAGGAGGATAGTCCTTTGTTCGCTACTGAAATTTGTGCTTAGACTCGCATTAAAGGAATATTGTCAAAAAAGAGATTCGGGAGAGTAGTTTGAAAACAAAGTTTCGAACTCTGGATTGGGATTTGGCCTGTTGCACTAACCAGCTTCTACCCCTCAATGGCAGAGCAATGTTGAACAATGTTCGGCGACTGGCAGAAAAAATGCAAATATGGACGACGAAAAAAAGATAGATGACTCTAGAATTAATTTAAAAAAAGAAAAGTTAAAATAAAGCAGCGGTAAAGCACCCACTACTATGAGCTGGATCTGAGCGATATCTGATCAACGTCTAGATTATCAGTAACTGTAACTTGTGCTACTTTGGAAATGGTCTTACATAAACATTGCCCTTGGATAAAATTTTTATAATTTTTTATCTTTTCCATGAAATAAAGAGGATTATATTTTGTTAATGGGATTATTCTTTTATTAATCTCTTGGTATTAAAAGTAACACTTCAGTACCTAAAATCCATAATTAAAAAAATTTTAAGTTCAAGAACTATATTTAAAAGTTACTGTCTTCAATATAACTACTGGTATCATTATCATTGTCTTTTCTGAGGTTTATTAATATATGGTCTATTCAGTTTTTCAGTGCTATATCCACTTTCCAAAATGAATTCTTTACCTTTTTAACATGATCAATGCATTTTATCCAATGTTCTCCATTTACATCTGAAACTGCCTTTAAGAACAAATTTCGCACATCAGGTTATTTAACTGTATTGTTTAGAGAAACATAACCTTGTAATTGTGACCAAATCAGTTCAATGGGACTTAACTATGTGTGGTAAGGAAGCAATTTGAGAATTGCAATTCCTTTTTCTCGAATCATCTCGTCTATATTTTTTGAATTTGTTTTTACAAGTAATTCTGCCTTCAAGGATTTAGGAGGACTAATAATATTTTTAGAATGTAGCCATTTTTTTTTCATCTTGTTATAGGTAGTGACTCCTTTAATTGACTGTAATAGGATGCATTATCCAAAACAATAACGGAGTTGACTGAAATGTTTTTTAAAATGTTTTGATACCAATTTTCAAATATAGGGCCATTAATTTATTAAAGGTAGTCTTTTGTTTTCTTTGACTCGAACATTAATAAACCATCTGGCAAAAATCCATAGGTGCTTCCAATGTGGGTTATTATTAAACTAATTCCTTTTCCTGTTGAATTTTTTAATACTTTTTATGGAGGTATCTTGCCAAATTTTTGTTACTGTAGGTCCAGCCATGTTTTATATACATAAAATACTTGTTTATGCTGATTTCTTGCATCCGCTATTTTCCTTAAATAATCATCTCCATGCAACGATTTCATCTTTCTCTGTTAAAAAGCTGTTTCTGTCACGTTTTTTTTAACGAAAATTTGATTCATGTAATATTTTTTGCAGATGACATAATTTGAAAAAGTGGTGCTATTTTCTAATTCTAAAAGTAATTTTTTAAGTGTACGAATTTTATTTCAAGAGAAAAAAATATATACCATTTGCCTTATTATATTCTCAACCCAAGTTTCAATAAAGGCCTTGTTTCTGCGTAGGGGCTTTTTCGGATGTTAGATTTCTGCAATAACTGTATCTTCTTTAATAATGTTATACTGTCCGCTTAGATACTCCAGTAGTGGCTAGTCATCCATAGCAAGTAAAACAAAGTCTCTTCTAAGATTAATACATAAATTAAGTACGATATTTTTTTCTTCTAAAAATAATGCTTTATTTCCACTAGGTCGTTTACGCGTACTTGTGCTTGCAATATTTTCTAATGCACCCGCCATTCTTTTATAACTCTAAAATTATAATATAGTCTACTACAAAATTTCAAATTAATTAAAATACAGACAATACGGCTATAAATTAATAAAATCTGACTTATCTGTCAAAAAAAAGAGATATAGTAAAAATTACATAATTAAATCTGAACGAAAACTTTTATTGGTCCGATGAGATGTAATAAAATTTTAACTACAAATAAGCATGAAGGGGGAAGTATAAATAAAATGTTTACCTCTTGAACCTGTACTATGTTCTACAAAAAAAAAATGACTGCTCTCCTTGCTTCTCTAGACTATAATCCATTCATACATAATCAAATCCTTATTTGTTTTAAGCATTCAGATTATGTTTTGTAAATGATCGATCCAATGATCGCAATATGTTAAAATTTATTAACAACTTTTTGAAACACACCTTTTCCAAGTCCATATAGATATAATGCTCTCATCATCAAGAGTGCAAGTAAACGGAATACCACAAGGTTCTAATCTTAGTATAACACTTTTCTTAATAGTAATCAACATCATAATTCAGACGAGCAAGTCACCAGTAAAGGCGTAAAGGCGTAGTCCTAGTTATTTTTGTTTGAGAAAAAACATAAATTCAATGCAGTATAAGCTGATTCCTGGACTAATAGAACAGGCCTTCAATTCATATAGAAACCAAAGTAATGCTTTTCTCAAACAAGAAGAAAGTATCTACCCACATTATCCTTCTATAATAAAAATCTTCAATATGTAAACAATATACGATTTCTTGAAATCCATTTTGATTGCAAACTTTTGCGGAAAACCCACATCCAGTCACTGTGTCTATCATATCAGTCTAGTCTTTATCTAATGAAATCAGTTTCGCATAAATCATGGAGATCAGACTACGCGACCTTAATATCTACAAGTATTCGATCAAAATTGGATTATGGTAGTATAGTAAATAGTTCTACAAAATAAAGCATTTTAAAAGACATTGATATAGTGAAATCCGAATAACTCTAGGCGCATATTGTACGAGTACAATCGAGAGCCTGAATTATGAGACTTGAGAAAGGCTGTACACATTCTTATAGCAGTACGCAAAGACTTAAACCCAACTTTTAAAAATGGGTCGTTAGATATTTGACAGAAAAAATAGAGTAAGTACATCAACATCTAAGTTGGCCGAAGTGAAGACCTCTGTGCTCCCTTGGAAAAAAATCCTACCACAAAGACGAATTCAAGTCATTTTGAGGTGCCTCAGAATTGGACACACACAACCACACATACATAGTTTTCCAATCAACCCATGTCTCGCTTGTGATGCAAAGTGTTAAACACTACCTAACTGAGTTTGTATTGTTTCAGAGGGACTTAAATACGAGTTACCTAACTCACTCAGTAATATAGTTTTAAATATCCGTCACATCAAAAATACAAGGGGTCTATTCTGTAAAAATTTGGTTAAAATTAATTCTGGGTTATAAATAAAACGGGATTTTATTTTTAATTTTGTATTTTGTATTATTTGGTTATAAATTATGGCTTATGTCAGTAATAAATCTAGTAATGATTATATGTCAAATATATTCTTTTTCTCATTTTTAAAGCTGCGTCGGGCTTAATTTCAATTCACCTTTAGTAGTTGCCAAGTCTATTGTAAATTGTTTATAAAATAGCTAATAACACCAAATTAAATTGATGGAATATCGAATAAAGAGTTTGGTTCAAATTTAAATGTCATAGTTATAAATAACCTTTCAACCCGGCGGTTAAAATTAACTAAAACGTTACGTAATAGACCACATAATTTGAAAAAATTAACCCATTAGCCAAACATAGGTGTGGCGTTTAATTTTATAGATGTAATACACTTTGATTAAATTTAAACTTTTTTACAAACAAGAAGTTAATATCTAAAAAACGTCATAAATAGTCTATCACGTTTCTAATGACGTACCACACATGGTATTCTTTATTTAAAATTAAGGGATTGGAGAAGTGGAATGGAGGGGGTTGACACATGACAGATGTCTGTATTGTAAAAATGTGTACCTGTTGGAATAAAAATCAACCTGCATTTTCTTAAAATACAATGAATACTGTCAAATGACAGGGTGAACTGTTTTGAGTGGTCCACTCTGTATATATTTGTAATTACCTTATAACATATTATATAAATTAATATAAAACGTTTATTAGTTAATTGTATACACCAAAAGTTGTATAATCATATATAAAAAGGGTATAGTAAATTGGAATATGTAAGTTGTTCAGTTTTAAGAAAAGTTGTAGCAACGTCGACATAACACTCATGTAGATAACATTTTGTGTTATTACATTGACTTCTAGATGTTGCAAAAACATTTGAAAAATATCTCCAGACATTAGGTTTTGAAATGTAAATTATGATTTATTTACTTCCTTTAGAATTATAAAAAAAATTCCGTTGCTTTTATTATTCAACCAGTCTTTGTTTTGTCGCAAAACTAATTAAAAATTAGTAGAAGCGTGTTATAACTACAGAAAAAGTAGTATAGTGTTAAACTCGCAAGGAATACTCATTTCTGACTCGTTTTATTTCTACTAGAAGCTAGAAGTAAGTACAATTCATTGCTCGTTAAACAATATAATACTATTTCGATCTAAGTCCTAAAAGTGAATACTGAAAGAGTCAAAAGCGGCTATGATTTTTAAACAATTTTTAACAATTTTTGAATACCAGACTCTTTAATTGAATAAGTATAAAAACTAAAAATATGTTCTTTCACGTTTAAAATTTTGTTGTGCTTGAGAGATAAAGTTGTAATTTTGTTACTGTAAGTTCGTCGAAAACGTAAATTTTGCGGTGAGATTTTAAAGCGCAAAATATTTACTTTGGATATAAACACATTAGATTTTTGTTGAATTAACCATTTTATGTTTACAGCATGACCTTAACTGATGCTCACTTTGAAGGAATTCTGAATATCGAAAAGCCACTTTTTAAGGGAAGCATTACAGAATACAAGATCACTAAAAACAGCGTTGCAGATGCAGTGGTAATATTTATTTTTATTTATTTCCCTCAGATGAATAATTCGTTTCAATTTAGTTTTAACACAAATATTTGATTCAATTTTTAAAAACATCATCGATTTCTCTTGGAAAACTCTAAAATGAAAAATAATACATTATATTTTTTTATACTTTTATATAATTTTTAAGCTATTGCATGGCTTTTATCGCGGGCTTTGAGCGCGGCGACCGAATCAAGAAATTCCGTAACGACCGTAACGAAAATAAACCTAACACCCCCACTCGACCGGCACAGCGGTGCGGCGTTGAATGCCGTGGAAGGTTTTAGCCGAATCCGACCCTATTGGTATTAGTATGAAGCGGAGTTAAATATACGTCTGCGGACTGGAACGTTTATGCAATGCAAGAACTAGAAGAACTTTCTCTGGCTTCTAATAAATTGGTATCACAAATGTTCCCGGCTGGCGCAAATATTATAGATGTTATTTTTTAAGCTGTCGCATAGCTTTTATCGCGAGCTTTGAGCGCGGTGACCGAATCAAGAAATTCCGTATCGAAAAAAAACCTAACACCCCCCACAGCAGTGCGGCGTTAAACAATATTAAATTTTCATTTATTCAGTAAATGAAAATCGAAAAATCAAAAAATCTGTGTACGAGAATATAGAAAAACTAATTCCTACGCATCAGTTTTTATTTAGGAACAAGCATTCAACAATTAACCAAATTTATTGACAACAGACAATAGAAAAAGTTTAGGAGGAAAACTATATATGTTCGACAATATTTTTGTGCTGTTTTATTTTACTATTTAAATTTAATTAAGTCAAAAACTAATAAAATAAATTTAAAATAATTAGTCATTGAATAAAGAATTAAAAACGACTTCAAATGAGTCATCACTCAACCACTGTTGCAGTTTAAAATTTTCATTCAGAGCTTGAGTTATTAACGGAAATATTTGGTCATTAGAGAGTTGAAACGTTTCCAGTACGGTAACGTAAACGTGAACGTAAACACAGAAAAATAATGTTTACGTTGCTTTACAAAATATGAGTTGAAGTTGTTAAACGCATCGTGACATTTACGTGTCATGGCAAATAATGAAAATGACAATTAATGACAATTAATGACAATTAATGACAATTAATGACAATTAATGACAATTAATGACAATTAATGACAATTAATGACAATTAATGACAATTAATGACAATTAATGACAATTAATGATAATTAATGACAATTAATGACAATTAATGACAATTAATGACAATTAATGACAATTAATGACAATTAATGACAATTAATGACAATTAATGACAATTAATGACAATTAATGACAATTAATGACAATTAATGACAATTAATGACAATTAATGACAATTAATGACAATTAATGACAATTAATGACAATTAATGACAATTAATGACAATTAATGACAATTAATGACAATTAATGACAATTAATGACAATTAATGACAATTAATGACAATTAATGACAATTTATATTGAGATTTCTTCTTTTCCAATTAAAAAGGGGTTATTTTGTTTGCCTTGCGTGTATACTCCACAGCCCGTAAGTTTACGTATGTACGTAGACGTGAAGAATATTTTAAAACGCTTGCGCAGATGTCAAATTTAACGTATACGTTTACGTTCATAACATCACTTCAACTCTCTATTAATTCAAGATCGTGGGAGATTCGATAAATAATTTTAACACGAAAATAAAACTATTACATTAAAAATAATGACATTTTGATTATGAAATGTACGAAACTAAAATTGCGAAGTAGCTTTTGTAAATGTCAACGAACCTCTTAAAATTAAAGAAAGCTTATTGTTTATAAAAAGATCGAATTATTAAATTAAAATATATTTCGATTACTAAATTCAACGTAACATTTAAATTTTGACAAATTCTATAAATACTCTAAAGTTTTGTGCAAATAGCAACAGTTAAAAAAAGAGTAAGTGGCTTTGTATTTGACAGGTCGCAGAATATTAGACAAAATTCTATTGTAACATACGTTCATCAAAGTTGAGTGCACCGAAATATGTGTAACTAGTTGTTGCTGGATCAGTATAGTTTGTCTATTCGAAATAAATATACGTATTCTGTTGTATCATCTCTTTTTATTAATAATGAGAAAATTTTGGACAAATTAAAATTTATAAAAAATTATGTTGTGTTACTGTCTAATCACATGACTAACAAAAAAAATTCCAATGTAATCACTTCCTGAAATCGATATGGTTGTTATGGTAATATGTCAAAATTGTTGATGTGAAATTTTCAAGGAAATAACTATTATTCTACGCAAGGGGTTTAAATTAGAGTACATTTTTTATTGTAGAAATGTGCTTTATCGGTAATAAAAATCTACTTTTCCGAGCATGTTTCAAATATTTTGCCGTACAGTTGGTAGTAAAACATTTAAAAGATGACAATAAATTATCAAAATAATAACAAAAATTTCATGATATAATATTTATTTCTAGGTTGGAGTATCAGACATGAACGAAGTTTTGACCTTTATTTTCAATAGACTTTTCAAATATATATGGAAATTTATAATTAGTAGCCATGTGTTTGCTAATGTTCTGCAAGGTCCAATAGAAAAGACTTTCCAAAAATATCTTGATGATCCGGACTTACTTAAAGTTCTTTTGGATGGATGCTCTGTTTAAAGTCGCTACTTATGTAAAAACAATAAATGATAACTCTATCTAACTTGTTAAATAAAGTGTTTTTTATTTCTTTAATGACAATTAGAATAATTGTAATCTTTAAGCCAATATAATAGTTTGTACACAACATAATAATATGTACATTTAACGTCGTGGAGAGGTTAATATCCATTGTTTTTTAACCTCAGTTTTCTTTCAGGTCTATTAACCAATTTCGTTTAATTCTTTGGTTCTAATAGTGACCACACGAGCGGATATCTTCCCAGCTAACAAATAAACATACCAATAATGTTAATAAGCTGTAATTCCGGGATCTTTAAAGTCACATTTTTTCAATTTTTATTGTAACTCTAACATCCATGCAACCTCTGAATGTCTGCAACTGCATGAGTTTTGTGACACCTCTTGTAGAGGTTCAGAAGTTCAGAAAATATCGCACTAGTAGTTTTACAGTATTTTTCCCGAAAAATGTTCTATAACGTTGTCTAGATGTTATAATGTGAGTTAGTTATACAGCCTTATAAAGTGTTTCCACGGATGGACTTAACTATACTTGTAAAATTGTTTATTTTAAATAAAAAAAAATGTAATTCTTCATAATTTCTTTTGCTTATTAAATAATTACGAGAAATTTCAATTTTGTTGCATTAATAGTTATTTATGCAACAAGTGCAAAAAGTAAGTGTTTATTGCACGCGACGTCGAGTGCAATAAACACTTTTTGCACGATTTGCATACAATATTTTTCTACGTTCATGCAAAAATCAAAAAATGTTTTATAGAACTGCAGTTGTATTATCCAAATCATAGTAGCCGTGATCGTATACCTTTGTTTAAGGCATTTATTTACGTTTATGTTCATAATTTGTAATGACATTTTTAATAAAATACATTTTTTTATTAATTTATTTATTAAATGATTGAAAATAACATAAAATATGCAATTGTTTTTAAAACGTAACACAGAAAATGAAAATGGACTAAATATTTGGCGTTGATTTGAATATTTATGTTTGTCATGATCAAAAAACGCTGTAGTAAAATGACAGATGAGTGGAATAAATTTTTTATTGCACTAGTTCAATAAAGAACCAGTTTTTTTACTAAATATAGTTCAATAAAGTTTTATTTTTTGCATGAACGTAGAAAAAAATTGTTAATTTTGAAAATCCACAATTTTTGTTTTTTTTATTGAGTACCCTGTACAACAAAATCAAAGTTTCTTAACGTGAAGCGTATTTTTTTAACAAGCAAAATTATGAAAAGTGGCGGTTTTTGAAAAATTTTAAATTAATATTTTTACAAAAGTATAGTTAGGATTGCGTTTAACCCATAGTTCTTTAAAATGATCATAGATACCGCCAGCATACACATTTACGTGATAATTGTAGTTCAATATATTTAACAGTCGGTCCAACTAAAAAATGGTTACCACCTTGTTCATTTCAGAACAAAAATATTCTGGCCTACTGTTTGAACCATTTGGCAAGATGCATTTCGGCAGATTTTTGATAATTTTTACTATTTATGTAATAATTTGGTAACTCAATTTTATCGTCTAGGCAGCGTTGTCAAGTTTAATAAATAAAAAAAATATTAGTGTTCTTTTGGTGCCCACTATATTATATTTTCTAACATAAATGGAATAACAAAATATTTCAAACCAGCACATAGTTGTTATTCTAATTTAAAAAAAAAAAAACTCGAAACACATCACTATTTATGTAGTAATGTATGAAAACTCTTTAGTAGAGCCGGTAACCTCGCATCAAAAATTTATGTTATGAAGATGATTGATTTTTTGCACGTGTTCAAGGCTTCAAGATTGAGGATGTCAATTTTAAATTTTCTATATTTTTATTTTTAATTTAAGATCTAGAATTCAGGTTACTAAAAACAATTCTTTAGATGTTTCGCTCTACAATTCTTTTTGAAAATATCAAAAGATTTCATTAATATGGCGAAGAGTTTAGTATTTTTATGTATAATTCATTTTTATCACCCAGTATAGCTAACTCGGCAATTATATTTTTTTTATTATATGATGAAAACTTATTTTAACTGAATTTAAATTTTGGGTTGGGTTCACTCACTAATACTTTCTTACTTTCAATAATTTTGATAACCAAATCAAAAGAAAAATTAGACAAATAAACTTACCCTTTGAAATTTCTATAAAAATGTTTAATTCCAAATATTAATTTATCTTCTATATCCTCTCTATGTTTGCTCTGATCACACGTATTCTAATTTCAATTCTTAAAAATATATTAAAAAACCATTAATTTAGAATAAATAGAAACTAATCTGCTCCTCTTCTTTCTTCTATAGCTTTTGTTTCTTTCTATATTTCCTCCTCTAATAGAGGTCCTGTCCTGACCCTGATATCCTTAAACTCCTACCCTTTTTAATATTTTCAGGTGTCCTACCTTCTGTTTATAACTGCTTACTAATCTTACTTATCCGCCTTCTACTACTATACCTCCTGTTTTTCTTTTCTAACATTTTTTAAAATAAAACTTTGTTTACCTTTTATCTTTCAGACATTTTTGACCTTGTAATTAAATTGTCAGACAAAAATTCGGAGCAGAACACCCTGTAAATAAGTTGTAAAATTCCCTTCGCTTGGCCGCCAGTGACCTCAAGTGCGCCATTTATTTCAAAAAGATATTGCAATTTTTAATAATATTGTGAATTGATTGATCCATTACAAAATATAAAAAGTTAAATATTTTTTTATATTTCAGCTAATATCTCGAGAAATCGGTAGGACAACTAAAAAAGACATTGATTATCTTTTATAAAAAATTAAATTGCCAACGTAAATGTTGCTGTGCATTTTTTAAAAAATGAAATAGTTAAAAATATATCGTGGATTAGTTGTTTAATTGCAGAATGGAGTGTATCTTCAAAATAAAGCGTGATATACTTTTTTTTTGTTTGAAATTACTTGTGCAAAAAAAATCATGCCATAGAATTTGCAAAATGTTTTTGAAATAAATGGTGCTCTTTAGGTCACTGACAGCCAAGCGAGGGGAAGATTGCAACTTATTTACAGGGTGTTCTGTCCAGAATTAAATAACATATTTAATTATCAGACAAGACCGAATAATAAAAATTTCATTTTAAAAAATACTTACACTTACACCCCCTTCTGCCAGAGATTTTTATCTGACAATTTTTATAGTTATTGATATACTTTAATTCAGGCAAAATACGAAGTTTCAACCGACTTGCGATAATAAAAATTTCGACTACTACTGAACGACTTTAGGGTGAATTTACACCCCTTTCTGCCTATCCCCCTACCGAAACTATTGAAATGGCAACCTATTACCCCTATGGCAACCTTTTTGCAAATTTTTAGTCTAAGTAATGAAAGATAAATGTTCACTAGCTCTTAGACTATCAAAGCGGAATGATCAGTTTCCAATATAAATTTTGCTCCTAATAACATTTTTTTTATTTTGTAATGCAAAAAACCACACTAGCCATTTCTAACTCTGTGACTGAATATTTTTTTTCAAAACTTTTTGTTTCACGAGAACTCACCTCCTTGTTGCTTCGGTACTAAGACTCCTGCTAATATTTCACACGATGCATCTGTTTTAAGGATAAAAGGTTGATTATACTGTGGAAGGAATACTCGTAAATTTTTCGTAATCGTTTCTTTTAGTTCCTGGAGAGCGCCTCTATCCATTGCCATCTTACATCCTTCTTTAACAACTCAATCAGTGGAATTTCCATTTTACTTAAATCAGGAATGAGTATCTTATAGTAATTCAATATTTCTAAGAATCCTCTAGAGTTTTAAGATTATTAGGAGTTTTGAATTCTAAGATAGTTTTGACCATTTCAGGATCCATACTCTGTTTAGTACATATCCCAAATAATTTACCTCGTGTTGATAAAATTGACATTTTCTTAGGTTTAATTTTAATCCTGTCTGTTCTAATTCCTTTAAAATAATTTCCAAATGTTGTTGATGTACAACTTCATTTTCTGAATAAATCAAAAATGTCATCAATATAATGGAGGACAAAATATTCATATTTATTTAAAATTGAATGTCTAACCAAAGCGGACTACATAGAACTGGTACACAATTCCAGCAACCATAAATGCGGCGTAAAATCGGCTCTTCTTATCCAAAAGTACACAAAAATTGTGTTTAAGGTCCAACTTTGAAAATACTTCTGCTTTAGTGATTCTACCAAATATTCCCTCTACACTCATTGGACTTTTATACTCTTTCTTCGAATAGCTGTTAATTTTTCTAGCGTTCAAACATATGCAAATTTCCCCAGATTTTTTTCTAACACGGAATAGCACTAATATACGATGAATCATTTCTTTCTATGATTCCTTCTTTAAGCATTTTCTGTAATTCTTGATAGACTTCATTTTTAATTTTATATGGAATAGGGTGTTTTTATTTTAAAAATTTTTATTTCTTTTTTCATCTCTAATTTATGTACATACTTAGTAGCCACACACACCTCTTCATTGAACAGCCTTTGATATTTGTTTATTAATCTTTTTATTTCTTTTTCATATTCCTTAGCTCACAGGTTTTTATAATTCTCCAAAGACACAGCCTCCAAATGGCATATTTGACAATTTTCCTAATTAGCTATATTGTTCTTTCTTGTAATATTAAATGGAAAGACTTCTTCATTGCATTTTAAACAATGATCTTTATAATTAATAATCATTTGATGATTATTTCATCCGTACCCAATATTATATTAAAATTAAAATTTTTAATTATTACCATTTGTATCTTATAATGCCTAATACCAATTCGCAATTCCTCTACCACCGTAATTTTAGTGTCATGTAATTTTTTATTATTCGCTCCCACTAATGAAATTTTATTTGTTTTATACATCATAATATCATTTTTCTCTAAGTAACCTACTAAATTTTGATTGATTGAGGTCACCTTTGACCCAGTATCAATAAGAATTTTACATTATTGATTTTTAAAAATACACTTTTTAAGTATTAAATTTGTCATTTCAGTTTGTTCAAACTACTCACTTTCCTTAATGAATTATCTTGGTTGTTTGTATTTAGAAGAATTAACAATATTATGGACGTGGGAGCAATTACACAAAATTTTCATTTTCCTGTCTCTGGACAATTCCCCTATCTACTTCATTTGATCTTGTCTTGTCATATTTACTTGTCTCATATTATCATCCTCGCTAATTTCCCTTATCATTTTGATTACCTATATTGCGATTATTATAATCCCTATTTTGTCTCCAATTCTCCCTATCTCTATCCTATCTATCCCATATATTCTGTTCCCACTGATCATTTCTATTCTCATAATAATTATTATTTCCCCGATCTAATATCCGACCATTTTGTCTATTGTCCCTATTCTGACTGTTATATCCCTGATTTCCACTATATCTACCATCACTGAGTATTACCATTTCCGAAATTTCTACTCTGATGTCTAAAATTATTCTCCTGAAACTGACTACTATAACTCCCATTAAAAGCAACACTCCTTTCCAATCGCTGTAAATAACAAGATATATTTTCCATTTTTTTAATATTATGTAACGCTATAGTCTCTGCCATTTTCTGATTGAACTGCCTTGCTATGTATAACAGTATCTCCTCCTCTCGCATATTATGTTTGAGATACTGAGCTATAATATATAGATGCATCGCGTACAAGTTGAAATTCTTACTTCTATTATAAATAAACTTTTCAAAGTACAATCTTTCCCGAAAACTAGCTTGCTGAATCTCCCCCCAAAAATAATTCAAAAAACTAACCTCAAATTCCTTCATATTGTTTATTTTATTCTCTTCATTGCAATACCACAACAGAGGAAGACCAGATAACATATTTCTAATAATCAATTTTTCATTACTAAATCCCTGACATTTTTGATAAAAACTTTAGGATAGATGTTGTTTATATTTCCATCAAACTTAATCCTCCTATCAATGTAATTAGGTACCACAGTTAAGCCTTCTCTTGAATTTTGTCTTAAATTTTCCTCTATTATTAAAATTTCCTCTGTCGTGTTTTGCATTTCCCTATTTACCTCCTGTATTTCCCTCTTAAAATTCATTTCTTCTATCTCAGATCTTTAAATACGACTCACTGCTTCGTCCTCTAGTGTCAACAGTTTCTTTAAAATTATGTATGACCTCTGCATGTACCTATCCCTGTATTTTCATATGTCCAATTTCCCCATTCAACATATCAGTCTATTTGAATCTCCCCTGGCATATTTTCCTCAATATTTCTTTTTAACTTACTAACTTTTTCTTTAAAATTTTTTCCTATCTCCAACCTAATAATAACCCCTTGTTCCTCTATTTCTGCCCATAACTTCTTATTTTGCTCTTTAACCTCCTCCCTCACTTGTGTAATCTGCATTCTAAACTCCTCATTCTCTTGCCTAATTTTTTTTACTTCTGTTAACTTTGTATTTTCCCTTCATTTATTTTCCTTTCCAAATCCCCATAAATAAATTTAATATTTACATACATAAATAGAATGATCAGGAACGGAGTAATCAGATGAAAGTCTACTTGCTTCAGGACATGCCCCAGGATGAAATTGTAAAGAAGTACAGTTTTGTGAAAAACTTTCAAACCACAGAGCTGGGCTGCAAGAAAGAATGGAGCCAAGAATCCATCGCGCTTGCAACCGAAAGACGAGCTATTGAGTGGTATACGGAAGGTTCCAAAACCATAGAAGGAACTGGAATAGGAGTATATGGGCCGAGAACCAAGCAGTCCGAAAGCTTGGGAAAATAACCAAGAATCTTCCAGGCGGAAATTCACGCCATCCAGAAGTGTATCTAGTTCAACATCGAGAGAAACTATCATAGACAAGAGATTATCATCATGTCCAAAAGTCAATCAGCCATTAAAGTGCTGAGCTCTTACGTAATCAGCTCAAAAATGGTCTGGAGATGCCTAGAACAATTGAATGATCTAGGCGAGAAAAATAGAGTTACTTTTACTTGGGTCCCGGGACATAACGGGGTCTGTACCGGGGTAACGAGATTGCAGATAGTTTTGCAATCAAAGGGACTCAAACACCCTTTGTAGGACCTGAGCCGTTCTGCGGTATCAGCAGTAACATAATATTAGGAGAGATTAAAAAAGAATTGGGCAGTAGGGAAACCGATAATTGGAACAATCTCTTTGGGCTGAGATAGGCCAAGATACTTCTGGGTGAATATAACCAGAAAAGATCGGAAGCCTGCATCTTCCTGAGCAAGAACAGGCTACGTATTGTAACAGGGATTCTTACCGGGCATTGCCGACTAAAAGGACACCTAAGTAAACTGAGAGTAGTAGATGATAGTGTGTGCAGATTCTGTGAGGAGGAGGACGAAACCTCAATTCACATCATAACTGAATGTGTAACACTCCAGGGCACTATATCTAGGAGGATATCAAATAGAAGAGGGATATTTACCTAACTTGAAGCCACTTCAAATCCTACACTTCCTTGAGAAGATAGGATTGGAAGGGTCGTTATAGGAATTAATACATTTCCTTGGTGCATTGGCGACAGAAGGGGACACAATAGATCTTTTAGGTCGCAGTGTATTAACACCCTATTCCCAACATAATATAACATACATTCATAAAAATAAACTGCTGCATGCTCTCAAACATTTCCACCTGTGGTCTCACCTGCAAACCCTGACTACTAATATCTTCTCCTTCTCTCTCACTCTGTCCTTCACTTTCAAATTCTTCTCCATTACTCCTTACTGTACGATCCAGCTCCTCTCTCAATTCTCCTAAACTTTCATCCCTATCGACATTCTGTTCCTGGTTTGGTCTCCCTTGTTCCATATTCTGAATTGCACAATCCCCTGATACAAAAATTCTATCATAATCGCTTTATAATGTCTGATTTAGGGACATAAAGATAGGAAACGCAACGACCGCGCAACGATGACTTCATCTATGCGTCTCAGATATTAACTACAGGTATACGTCGTTTGTAGACAGACCAATGTTGCCAAATATTTTTTTTTGAGAAATCGTACAAATAGAGTAGAAAATGGTATTTCAAAACAAAATTGTACAATAAATACATATATAGCATAATATAACTTAAATGAAATGAAAAAATAAAAAACAACTTTTGCGTGATAATTTATTTATCTATTTATAAAAATGTTTACAACAAAAAAAACTAAAGAAAATACATGAAACTATTAAAGGTACTGTTTCGAAATTTATTGGAACTAGCTTCAATCCATAATTGGAATATTGCGAAACAACCTTTTGTTTAAAGTTACAACAGTGTGATTTGATTGTATTTTTGGTGACCACATGTTGTAGAAGCTCTTTTATGAGGATATATTTAACCACGTTCTGGATCTCCAACAGTGCCCACATATATATGTAATCTTTTCTAAATAAGCTGTCCACGAAATTGGTGATTTGGTGATTTTGTCTTCCTCCTTTTGCTGTTGAAGGGGTAAATATAGTTTTATTTTAGTTAGCATGCTTACCTAGAAGATTATTAACCCTAAGCTATGTTTCTTTTCGTTGTATATATTTTCAGTATATGGGATTGACTATTAAGGGGTAGTATTTTGAAATCTAAGGGTGTAATTTGCCTATTAAATGTAATTGTTGGGTAGAACTCGCCTCACGAGCCGTCTATCTTGTTGCTTTGTAAATCTGAAGATTACCTACATAAATTAATAAGCCGAACTTAATTTAACTATACTCTGTTTTTAAACTAGGAGGAGCGATTTGAGTTTAAGTTGGCAATTCTGTAGATTTCTGATTGGTCAGATTGCAGTCAGTTTCACACATCACTTTTTAGCATTAAAATCAGCTATAATAATTGATATTGTTGACAGTTCTGACATTTTATATTTTGATATCTCATTATTACTTAGTTTTTTACTTTATTTCTAAAATAATAGTTCTTTTCAAAACTTCAGTAAGCAATTGTATTAAATTTCTACGATTATGGACCCTTCTCTACCGAGTAGTATTAAGGGTAGCAGTTCCTGAAAAGCCCTACAAGAAAGGGAAGACGACTTATTTTTGCTGATTCTGAAGAGGATTTTGTAGAAAATACATTATTGGTTTTGAAGGCAAAAAGACGGGAGATTACCATAAAGAGATGAATTCCGAAGTATTCCAGAAAAACTAACAAATTTATTACTGATTTTTTAAAACTAAAACTTGATAAATTTCTGACCAAACTGATTAAAAAGTAACTAAATATTCAAGTAAATTTTATTTATTAGACAATAAAACCATTTACAAAATTGTTAAGTCACATTTAAAAAACTATCTACTACAATAGATAATCTTAATTTAGCATAATGAGCTAACAATACTTCCACAATAAATATTTTAAAAATATCCGCTTAACATTAATATATAGGTATGTATAAATAGTTCACTTTAAATTAAAAAATACGGGTAAAAATTAGAACTTGAGTTAAAAAGACCTACAATATCATTAAGTTAAAATTTAGTAATGATATAATGTTGATATGTAGTGTTATGTAGCGTATTAACTATGGGTTAAAAGCAAATTAGCTACAATATCCATATTACTCATAGGATAAATTCCAGTCATTGTGTGATCCAATTGCCATTCACTAATTACCTTTTATTTAAGTTTATACCTATAACAAATAAATCATTAAAAATGTAAAACGATAATATTTCTATGTTTTATACTAACCGGCATCTTGATATTGTTTTAACAATTTTCATAAATATTCAATATCTATTTAAAACAATTACAATCCTCAAAAAGACGATTTAAAAAGCAAGAAAAACATATTACTGATAACGTCAACAAATCAACGACCATATTAAATTTCATTTGACAGTGACAATTCGTTTTAGACACACTTTTCAGATCACAATAATAAGAAATTTGCGACCGTTGTCTGGAACCAACAAAAAATCGACTCCTTTGACATTTATTTGTTCCTTAATCCCTGATTGGATGTTCGCTGACTAGGGCCGATAATAACAACTATTACATAAATTTTGAACACGACTTTATTTCGGAACAAGCTCTTAGTAACGAATCTAGTTACTTTTCCCTGTGTAAATGCGTCTTTTTAATTCGCTCCTCCTAGTTTAAAAACAGAGTATAGTAAATGTTGAGTAGTTACTACCTATTTCTAGACTTCGCTTCACGAGAAGGCTTTGTAGGTACCTGGTTATTTAATTTTAACTTTATTAACCAGGGATAAATAGTTATTTCTGTGTTTCATTTCACACGTTTTCTTTAGGGTTCTTGTGACGGGCTGACACTTCTTGTGACGGGCCTATACTTCTTGTGAAGGGCCGACACTTCTTGGTATGCGCCAGTAGTTCCTGTGACGGACTAGTACTTCTTGTGACCAGCTAGTATTCGTGTGACGGGCTAGCAACCTTTATGACAGGCAGTTCGATTTGTACGCCGAAGCAGAGATAGTAGGAAACCCTCTACTAGAGTTTTTCTCAGCCGAAAAGAAGTCACGGTGTACCGCAAGTTTTAGCTATCATATTTTTATATTACTATATTACTATTTAATATATTTTATTGGAGGGGTTATTAGTACATAACTCTATCTAAACCTAATGTAAACGAGGTTTAGGGGTGTATAATTATAGTATATTTTAATAAACCCGAAAACGTCACCAAGAGCTCTTCGTGGGGTATATTACTTATGGGTAACTAATATTTTTAATAAGTAACAGAGTTTTACTTGTTTTTACCCCTAGCGTCCGTATATAGATCACTATTATTTATTTATTTGCTAAATACCGTACACACCTCATGTGTTACATTTTTAAGAATACCCCTAGTCCCATTTAAATATTTTTTAAGTCTAACATAGCGTTTAGTTGTGAATAATACTCCCAGTGCTACTGGATTATTGTTAATAGTTGGGGAATTTAGTAGTGAATGTACTAAATGATTTAGATGTTAAATATTGCTTATTTTGAAGTATGAACGAAGTTGACTCCCCATGTCGACACACAATTTATAATTATTAAACTTGGGTATACATATTGAATTATTCTTGTTATTTAACCCCGCTTGCTAATTGTCTGGTCAATAAGACCTATGGTAAGGTAACGTTTATACTTTAATAGGAGCATACTCAATTTGTAGCCACTTGAAGGCCTTCGTAGAGGTAATGCTTATAGGTTGGCTATTTGGAGTTTGATAGTGAACTGTCACTTGGTTTGTTGGATGTGAGGTTAAGCTCCTGGCGCCCCACTCACATACATAACTTTCTCTACGACTCACCCCTTCTTCACTGTAGTTAGTCGGCATCCAACATTTGGATTAATATAAATCCCACCTCAGGTGCTTAGACTCAGAAAGTAGGTAGCAAAATATAATTTGTTGCACCAGAACAAATACTTTAGTTTTTAATTCATCTTTACAAAACCTTGATACGGTTGCAACACTCTTACTCAAAGTTCAATTATTAATATCTCAATTTCCCAAATATCGCCCTGTATATTTTTTACTATGTTGTATTCTTAGTTGTGGAATGATTTTTTAGATAATTTCTTCGTATGAATACGTTAGGCTGCTACAACTACATTGAGCAGAAGCTACCTTTTTTAACTTTTATCATGTAAAATATATATTTATTTCGCAAACGAGATAAAAATTAAAAAACGTTGTTTAAAACCATGGATAGCTGTTTGACGGATTCGTATACGCAATATGGCAAAAGTGAACCCGTCTTAGACTATGTGACAGCGTCTCCCTATTTTCTACCTCCATGGATTTTTTCCACAAACTCGGTAATGCGCATGCATTGTAGTGCCGTTAAACATTGCAGAGCTGTGCCATTTCTGATTAGGTTCGTTTAATAGGTAAACAAAGTTTGCTGTTAATATAGTATTTTAGTTTGATAATTTTGTAAAGCATATTACGATACAGAACAACTTGGCAAATCCCTAATGAGAACTTATATAGTTGTAAAGGTAGACTTATACAAATATTTTTTGGAGCTTTTGTTCAAAAACTAAAATTATGAATTTCCGAATTCAAAAACTTACTCTTTACATATCATAAGAACGAAAACAGGCACCCCAAAAAAAGGTCAGCCATTCACTTGCTATGTATCATTGAAAATATCTTCAAAAGTGCATTCCAACGATAACAATAACTGTAGGTGAGCATTTAAAATGTTTTTCTCTTTTTATATTATGTTAAACAATCGTAAATTACAGGAAATTTGATTGGTACCAATTACTTATAGTTACGAAATATTGATAATCAAAAATGTTTTAAATATAAATCATAGTCGAGAAATTAGAAAATCGATCATAAAAAGATGTGTTTTTATAAATAAATTGGTATTATTGATTTCTTTGGAATGCATTTTTGACAAAATTTTTAGATGCATAGGTTTTTTTTAGTTGGGGTAATTTGTGCTAAAGGTAGTGATTCGGTAA